GACAGAGCGAGACTCCGTCTCAGAAAAAAAAAAAGTATCCAGAAAGCTCCAGGGGAGGGGCATGGAGGTCCCCAGCACCTGTGCCTGCAGGCCTGGCCGCTGTAGGATGGTACTGAATTATGGCATGTCAGGTGTCTCGTTTTTTTGTTTTTTTTTTTTGAGATGGAGTTTCGCTCTGTTGCCCAGGCTGGAGTGCAGTGGCACGATGTCGGCTCACGGCAACCTCTGCCTCCCTCCTGGGTTCAAGCGATTCTCCTGCCTCAGCCTCCCGAGTAGCTGGGACTACAGGCGCCCGCCACCACGCCCGGCTGGTTTTTGTATTATTAGTAGAGACGGGGTTTCACCATGTTGGCCAGGCTGGTCTTGAACTCCTGACCTCAGGTGATCCGCCCTCCTCAGCCTCCCAAAGTGCTGGGATGACAGGCGTGAGCCAGCGCACCCAGGCTCATCCACCTGTTTGGAGATGCCCTCGTGTCTCTGTGGACCCACACACAGACATGCACAGGCATACCCACGGACACACACGCAGGCACGCACACATACACCCATCCAAATGCACAGACGTACAGACATGCAGACACAAAGGCACACATGCAAGCACACACCAGAAAGACGTGCACACACAGACACAAGCACGGACATACAGAGATACCCTGACAGGCCCACATAGACACACTCAGACGCAGACACATGCACAGATGGGCACACAGACACACACACAGATACAGTGACAGGCACACACACACACAGACGCAGACACATGCACAGATGGGCACACAGACACACACACAGATACAGTGACAGGCACACACACACACAGACGCAGACACATGCACAGATGGGCACACAGACACACACAGATACAGCGACCGGCACACACACAGACGCAGACACATGCACAGATGGGCACACAGACACACACACACAGATGCGGACACATGCACAGATGGGCACACAGACACAGATACAGCGACCGGCACACACACAGACGCAGACACATGCACAGATGGGCACACAGACACACACAGATGCAGACACATGCACAGATGGGCATGGAGACACACAGACACACAGAGACACACCAACAGACAGGCACACACATGCACACGGACGCAGACACATGTACAGATGGGCACAGACACACAGAGACACACCAACAGACAGGCACACACATGCACACGGACGCAGACACATGTACAGATGGGCACACAGACACAGAGATACACCAACAGACAGGCACACACATGCACACGGACGCAGACACATGTACAGATGGGCACACAGACACAGAGATACACCAACAGGCACACACATGCACGCAGACACGCAGACACATACACGTACCCTCAGAGACACATACACACCACAGAGACGTGGACACAGACACACACAGTCTCACGCACAGACACACACACATAAGGACATACTACACAGAGACAGACACGCACACAAGCACAGCAGACACATATGCAGACACCGACACACACCATGGACACAGACGGAGACACACAGACATGCACACACATATGCACACGGAGACACAGACGCACACAACCACAGCAGTCACATATGCACACAGACACCCAC